TTGGCAATTTGGTATGATGTGCGATAAAGATGGAACGGCGACAGAAGATGATGTGCGAGTCTACTCTTTGTGCTCGTGATAGTACAGTGTTCAAACCTTCACATCAACGTGAAAGGTAATAGTACAGTGTTCAAACCTTCACATCAACGTGAAAGGTGGAGACTTTTTGTGCTCGTGAAAGTCATGGAAAAAGTTTGCGGTAACAAGTGAGGTTGGCACCAGAAAATCTCCACATTTTAACCTTTTTCCCCTCCCAACAAAATACAGTATTACTTTCGCTATTTTAAATTATAAGACGTTCTAATAAATTTTTTTATATACATTTATGTTTATATATAGTAAAATTAATGCATATAGAAAAACTAAAATATCTTATAATTGGAGAGTGAGGGAGCAGGAAAGAAGCAAAATTTGGCCGCTGGTCACTGACTCTGCAAATTCATTGGCCACCTACATCAAACCTACTACACATACTGCTGCTGCTTGCATTGCATGTTGCAGCTTCTTTCAGGAGAGGAGAGATCGAGACCGAGAGGGAGCCCTCTGCATCATAAAGGAAACCGGAAAGGCTACCCTCTCTGAATCCGGACACGAGGACACGGGCCCATTTCCCTTTTATTATTTGTGTTTGTAGGAAAGTACAGAGGCTTCAATTGATATGCCCCCGTGTGCGCTGTTTGGCACAGAATCCGATTGATAGGGGTCACCACAATCAGGCCTCGTTCAGTTTTTTCTTAAAAATTTAGGTCCTATCCTATCAGATATTTAGATATATATATAGAGTATTAAATATAGACTAAAAAATAACTAATTATATAGATTATGATAAACTTACGAGACGAATTTTTTAAGTCTAAGGGTAGTCCCAACGGTGTATTGATGATGGTTTCTATTCTCATTAAATAACTTGTCACATAGGTAAAACGTTGACATGGCAACGTAATTAACGAAGAAAGAGAGCAAAAATCATAGAAATAGTTTTCTCATGAAGAAATCAGGTCTACTCTTGACCTAATGCACCAAGAAACCATGAAATCGCCATTGGGGAGAAACCACTAGTTTCTAGGGAGCTCGTGTCGCACTCTCATTGAAGGAAGAAGATAGAGTTGGGAGAGAAAAGAGAAAATAATTATTACTCATAAAAACCATAGGTTGAAAAGGAGTACTTTTTTTGTGCGGTATCCTATGTTATAGAAACTACTGATTTCTTTTATTGGGACTGCCCTAATTAGTCTATGATTTGATGAGGTGGTGCTACCATAAACATATGCTAATAATAGATTAATTAGGCTTAATAAATTTGTGTGGATATGACATTCTGAATTAACAACACCTCAGCTCCACGCGTTGGAATTAATAGACAGACGCATTCTTTCCTTTCCTCCCGTAGGTACTGTACCCCACTTATCTAGTGGGGTGAGTACAACCTCTGCACAGGATCACATCTTTCAAGGACATGTATTTGGTGAGCCATTACACTTGCCTTCCTTCCTGCTGCTTCAGGCTCAAACAACAGAGCCACAAAAGATTTTGTTAAGTACGGCAAATGAACATGAAAGGAAGTGCTAAACCACCAAACCGTCGAGTGCTCAACTTGGTCACGGGCATGCACCTAGAATCGTGGAACAAAGCCAGGAATCCCTCTGCCAAACGTTGAAACAAGGAGATCAAAACCCTGTTGGAATCATGAAAAGAGGGAAAAGGAAATATAGTCCGGCAGGAAGGTGAGGGAGAGTTGCTACTTGGAACTTGCTGCTGGTAGGTAGGGGGAATGGGGGTGGAGTGGACAGCCTAAACTCTAGGGTATACTGGTCTACTGAACTCTCAATTCCAGCCTACTGAAAACTGATGTGACCTTAATCCATTGTTTAAACAGATCTCCTTGTCTTTTGCCAAAGCATGTAAACGACCTGTGCCACCCTATATTAATTAATGCTTTAATTAGTGTAGATGCTATATCAGCACATGCAGTTTGGGCCTTTGGGGTCATGTGGTGCCGTGGTACCGGTGGTGTAGATGCTATATCAGCACATGCAGTAGAGGTGCTCGATTTCCCTTCCGTTTTTTCTCCTGTTGATGTCTTCCTTTACTCTCTTGACAGAATAACAAATTGATCATACGCACTATATTTTTTTAATAAAATCAATCACTAGAAGTAATTTATAGTTTTAACCTTTTTTAAATAATACAACAAATGCTCATAAACACATACACACACTAACTCTTATGGACAATCTTACTGTCATGAGCATCTCTAAAACACATCTCGAATTGAAGAAATCATTGTAGACACATAACACACATATCAACTATCATTAAAGTAATAGAATCACTAAGGGCTTATTTAGCATGTCTTCTCTGAAGGAGCCAGAGCACTCGAAGAGCCACAAATTATAATCCTATAAACCCAGAAATAGCTCGACTCTTCTATTATTCTCTCCGATAGACATAGAAATAGCTCCGAGTCTTCTACTATTGACCAAAAAATGAATCCTTCTCCAGACCCCAAAACGGTTCCAACTCCTCTAACATTCACCAGAAAACGACACCTCATAAAGTATTTGATACGACTCCTCCATAGCAGCTTCTGCCAAAGTCAGAGCCGGTGCCATTGCCAAACGACGCTAAATCATGCAATAAAGCCGTGAAAATGCAGGCGCTTTGTATCAAGTTGACGATCTAAATCTAGGTGGGCATATTCCGTCACAAAAGATATATACTGCGGTTTTAAATTTACTCCATCGGTCCCAAAAATAGATGTCATTCTCATTTTCCGCGAAGTCAAATATTTTTAACTTTAACCAAATATATATAAACAATATTAATATTTATAATACATAATTAGTATAATTAGATAGATCGTTAAATACACTTTCATAATTAACTTATTTGGAGATGAAATGTTGCACATATTTTCTACAAACCTAGTCAAAGTTGAGAAAATTTGATCTACGCGCATCTCATAACGACTTTTATTTGAAGATGGAGTAGATTAGTATAATAACTAAAAGATATTATTAATTTTTTTTTAAGAAAACTGGAAGGGCCGTAACCCCTACAGGACTTTATTGAAACCAAGCGGTACAAACATATCAAACAAAAGAAATTACAGAGGTCACAGAAGGAAGAAATGAAAAGAAAACAGTTCACGAAACAAAGAAAGAAACAAAGAAAATGAGGCTAAGGCTTTGATTTAGCTTTTATTTTAGAAAAAAAATGTGGAAGAGATTTTTTTTGCATTTGCATAATAAATCATCTGGCGTCATCTAGAAATATGCGGTTTCCATGCCCTGAGTTGTCCTCGTCATCATGTAACAGATTATCATGAGAAACGTGAACGAACTCGACTAGAAACCATGGTCATTTTCATGCATGTATCATCACTCTTAGCTGTAAGGATAGATGGCCGTAGAAAACCCAACAAACTTCTCACAAGAGACATCATCAGAATCTTATAGCTCTACAAATGTACAATCGTCATAGATAGGAAGCCTGCAACCATCAACTCAGAGAACGCTAGCACTTGCAACAAAGACACGACCAAATTTTGGCACGAGAACTAAATGTCTCCTAAACACTCACGCTTGACAAAAATAACACGACAGTAATTACAACAATCTCATCAGATTTTTTTACAAAGAATTATCATAGGTGTCCACAAAACTGACAGCTATGTTACTCGTGAACAACACGAGAACGCACCACGATAAATGTTCATGGAATTAATACATGAATCATCTCAAATATCCCGAGAGCATGACAGTACACACCAACAAACAGTCTGTTCGCTGGTGAATTTTAGGATGATAAATTCGACTAATACTGATTTGTTGTGAGAAAAAATATTATTGGCTGGCTGATAAGCCGAGGCTTCCGTCTCGGCCTCGTCCGGGCCGTCTGATACCACGATCAGACGGTCCTCTGTTCCTCGATCGGCGGCGGCACACGCGGCACTGTAGCGGCGGCCTCACGCCGCCACGCTGCAGCGTGTCCGCTCCTCCCGTCCGTGCGGCGGCCTCTGCGACTGCGAAGCAAAACAAACCCGGCGACGGTGAGCCAGCCCGAGGAGGAAAGAAATGCGATGCGAGCAACATCTTTTCGCAAAGGCGTGGCGTGGGGATCCCCTGCACTTTTCGCTGCCCTGTTCCAGCATCATCTGCATCTGCTGCTGCTCTCCCCACACGCGCGTACCCCTGCTGGCTGCTGCACGCACACAACAGCATCTCTTTCCTCCCTCGGTTCCGGTTCCTCTCTCCCACCCTCTCTCTCTCCTCCACCCTCTCTCTCTCCGTCTCTGAGTGTGTGTGGGTGGCAGTGAGTAATAAATGGCAGTGAGCAGCGTGCGTGGCTGAGGCTGCTGCGCATAGCGAGCGCTCGCTAGTCGCTAGTGCTGTGCTGTGCAGCTGCTGGCTGTGTGCTGTGTGTGCAGCGGTTGCTCCTCCTCCTGGTCCTGCCTGGTGCTGCTCCGCTCCTCGTCGCTTGCTCGTTTCTCACACTGGTAACCGCCGCACTAAACCCTCCCAAACCCCTCCCCTGTACGATTGGTACACCATGAATGCATTTCTTTGATGTTTCTCGATCGCTATCTCCCTGTTGAGATTTCGGAGATGCTGGTGATCAATCGCCCGATGGAGTGAGACGGTTTCTTTGGCTTTTTGTTTTGATCAGGGCGGATTTCTTTCTCGTGAGGAGGAGGAGGAGGAGGAGGAGGAGGAGGAGGAGGGGAAAAGGGCTATCCGTTTCTTGCGGGAGCCCGTTGCTGCAGAGATCCATCCATCCAGCCAGGATTCAAGAACTGGCCTTTTTGTGCTTTACTCCCCAAGAGATTTTCACCCAAAGTTTGATCCTTCAAGCCGATTCGATCCCTGAAAACAACCAAAGCTGCCGCAAATCCGTTGTGATTCCAGGAAATCGCAGGGCGGAGGGGAGAGGAGAGGAGAGGGCGTCCTCTTCCGAGCAGCCCCGCATTGCCGCCTGTCGATGAGTGAGCGCTGCCTCCGATGCTTTCGGGGTGCTCGGTGTCCAGTCTCGCGGCGCGGTTCGCCTTCTTCCCGCCGGAGCCGGCGACGTACGCCGTCCGGAAGGACGAGGCCACGGGCCGCCTCGTCGCCTCCGGCGTGCCGCGGGACAACGCCATGGACGTCCTGCTCGTCAACACCACCAGGGGGAACAAGGTCGTGGCCTTCTACTTCCGGAACCCCTGCGCGCGCCTCACCCTGCTCTACTCGCACGGCAACGCCGCCGACCTTGGCCAGCTGTACGATCTCTTTGTGCAGCTCAAGGTCAATCTCAAGATCAATCTGATGGGGTTAGTGGTGCACCATGCTTCCTGGCCATCTCTTTGATCTTGCAAATTTTCCCTTTCAAGTGTTTATTATGTGCATTTATTCTGCTGTTTCCTAGTTTCTAGTATCAAATGCTATACTCCTTGATCTGTTTAGGAAAGTGTACTTCAAGCGTTAATACCTTTCTTGTTTTAATAGGATGCTCTGCCTAGACATGCCTTTGCTTTCTATTCTCTGGATTTTATTTAGAGGGGATGGGGCGGCGCTACTGGATAAGATACTCTTTACCTTTAGTGACGGTTTGTGCGAGTTACTGATGCTGCATTGCATAGATCAGTTTCATTTTGCATGTCGAGGGCGGCGGAAGCACGCCGTTACTGGAATGTGGGATTTGGAAGTGGTTATGACGTGTGCTACGCCATCACTGGAATGTGGGATTTGGAAGTGGTTATGACGTGTGCTTCGGTCTTTCCGTTTCTTGTTTCAAACGTAGAATCTGACATCAATAGAAGATTCAGTTCTTATCGCTGCGTATGCGTTACTGTTGTGAATGGTTATCAAGGAAAAACGTTAATTTTAACCGTTTCTGTTGTTGAAATATTTCATATCACTATATCATTGGCTCAAAGTTGACTGCGTCTTCATTCTCTGACTGTAATTGCGTCATTTTTGTTTCAAGAAGATGATTTGGCGTTTTCGGTTTCATCAGTCTGCTCTTAAGGTAAGCTATAAAGTTGTGTAGAATATGCTGATGTGATTACTGTGTTTTTCTGTGATCGCAGATACGACTATTCTGGCTATGGTGCATCTACTGGCAAGGTAAGGATGAACTTATTTCTCAAGTGTGACATATTGCTAAAAAGGGGCAGACCCAGTGCTGGAGGCTCCCACATGAGTGGGGTCTAGGGAAGGGAAAAACCGAAGTGGTGGTGAATTGCTGATTGGCTGTTTCAAACACTTGTCTTAAATCTTAGTGGCCTTTCAGAACTAACACATATACTTCTGCAAAAAGGGGGAAAAAAAGAACTAACACAGATAAATAGTTATCTAGTGTGCCTAACTACAGAGCTTGCAGTTTTTGCACTCAGTCTCAAGATTCAACGTGCCATGCTCAAGAAATGTGGCTTCGAGAAATGTGGCTTTAGTTTCACATTACAAGAAAGTTTCACATTACAAAAACGTAGTTTATATACCTACATGCGAAGAGGCTTTTTGGCCCATGCCTGACTGGTGCATTACTGGCACAGCATGGCCAACGCATCTTCAAAGGCTGCTCAGAGTCTCAGAGATAGCAATGATCAGCATATTTAGATTCGAACCCTTTTCTTTTCAGCCATGCATGCCATTTTAAAGTGTCATACTACAGTTTTAAGAATCAGCTTTTGCAAAATTACATGCATGAGCAGTTTATTCCATTCAGGTCCACCTGCAGACTTCATGGATGTCCCAACTATCCATCTCACTCTTGTGGCATGATATGCAAGTTCTGTCTCAATGGCATGTGGACCCAACATGTCATTCCCAGTTCAATGCAAAAAATCATTTTAAGCAAAATTTCATGATATTGTTTATATATGTCATAAAATTGAATTGAGGCTTTTAAGTTCTGACCTAATGTTACACTGTTCCTGAAATTTCAGAATTAGATAAGCAAACTGGAACTGTTTTCTTTTGATTTTTCTCTCTTGTATTTTAAGACTCCATGTAGTCAGTGCAGTGATAATTCCTGACTTATTAAACTTTGTTCATCTTAAATTCAAATTCTGTTTTGGATACTAGATTGGCTGATATATTGCTATATGCTCATTTGAGCTAAGTCAGATGCCGTGTTCAGTTTGTATTGCTGCCAGGTTCCTAGTTTTTGTACTTATCATACACTTGTATTCTTTCTAGAGGATTACATTTTGGAGGACTGGATCTTATGTTTGTTATTTGTATGCAGCCAAGCGAAGAGAATACATATGCAGACATTGAAGCAGTTTACCAATGCTTAGAAACTGAGTATGGGATCAGCCAGGAAGACATTATCTTGTATGGACAATCTGTGGGCAGTGGACCAACATTACATTTAGCCTCTCGTTTGCCTAGATTGCGTGGGGTGGTTCTCCACAGCGCTATACTGTCAGGCCTCCGTGTTGTTTGCCATGTGAACTTTACTTTCTGCTTTGACATTTACAAAGTAAATAACTCAAACTGATTCTCTTTTGCAGTCCACACCTCCTATGCCTAGACTTACCCTTTACTAATGTCTAGCCAAACCTATTTCTGCAGAATGTGAAGAAAATAAAAAAGGTCAAATGCCCAGTGCTCGTTATTCATGTAAGTGTTCTCTAATAGGATATCTAGCCTTTGTCTATTTACTTCATTACTTGTCTGATTGGACAAGTAGCAGTAAATTTCAACTAACATGCACTGATCCCTTCTGATGGCAGTGTGCTGTTGTTGTTCCTGCTACACTAGCAGTGTATGTATTGGAGCAGTAATGCTTTTACTGGTAGTTGTGATAGTGAATAAATTCATTACTCATTACACACTAGTTCATCATGGCATCAAAACATCCTTTTAGTAGAAAAGCAATTTCATGTAATACCTTTTTTATGCAATTTTAGATATAGGAATCAAAGATGATGACCAATTGAAATCTGTGTAGGAGAAAATCCATTTAATATCTGGAATCACTTTGATCAGATTCTCTCCTCTGAAGTCTTGCTACTCCTAGCAGGACAATTCATCATCTTGGTGCTAATTCTTGGCTTTTGAAAATTTTCTTTAAACCAAATGTTTTAGCCAATGTGTGGTCCAGTACATAGGTTTAGATAATGGGGTAACCTCCAGCCTCTACACTAACCAGGGATGTATACAGCCATAGGTAGATGGAAAAAATACATAGGTGGAGGGGGAAAAACAGAACTGCAAAGGCTAGAAACAAAGTCTTCATATTCAGCCTGTTCGCTTCTACGACTTGCCGCCGCAAACAAACACCTGTGCAGCACTGTTCCTTGTGCTGCTGTTGCAGCGGCCGCAGCCGACTGTTCCGAACAGGCCCAAAGCCTCAACTAGCCAGCAGTTACGTCAACTGAATTCATGCCCTTTTATGGGCTGGGATGTCACTAGCAGCTGTAGTTCTCTAGTGTGCTAGTTGTACACATGTGGTAGCCTCACTATATGCCCATATGGGACCTCACTGACTTGATTCAGCCTGTAGCCCCAAAGAATAATTGGGCATTGGCTGTCCTGGCGTGGGTGGTTGTTGGCCTTTTACTGTTCATCCTGTCATAGTGAACAACTTATATTGTCTTGGCTGAGCCCAACCAAATTTATAGCCATGTCAAGCTAGTAGGCCCAAAAGATCAGGATTGTTCTGGCCCAAATTTTTGCACAGGCCTAACTAAATCTACAGGCTACATCTGAGTCTATTTGTTTGTTGCTGCCCTGCAAGTGCATATTCTTAGCCAATGATCTCAAAACATGAAAGGCCAAATCGTAGGGCCTGAAAGCCACCAGTTTACAGGAAACAGTCCTGTTACCCAGCTTTTTACAGTAAAACTATTTCCCAGCTTGTCTGACATATTTCATTTGATTTGCTCTTACCTATTTACAGTTTTTATGTTGTTGGTTGCTATCAGGCTGTCAGTATTAATTTGTTACACAGATCATAGGCATTTTCAGTTTTACCTAGATCACTTGTTCATGCAATGGATATATATATTTTGGGTGCTGATTTGTATTATTTAGCATTGCTAGACCCTGTTAGAACAAATGAACAATCATGAAAAACTGGTGAACATACATCCGAATTCATCTATATGTTTCATTGCTGTATGTTTTGTCATAGGGTTGCTTGTATTCCAATTATATTAGAAGATATTTTTCCTCAAAAAAATATTAGAAGATATTTGTCTAAGTTACACCCATTGATTGTTGCAGGGGACGGATGATGATGTTGTGAACTGGTCACATGGAAAGGAGCTGTGGAAACTAGCAAGGGATCCTTATGACCCACTCTGGATCAAAGGGGGAGGTCACTGCAACCTGGAGCTGTACCCAGACTTCATCCGCCACCTATCCAGGTTCATCCGTGAGATGGAGAACATCACAACAAAGATCCGGCTCAAGAAGATCAGGCCGTCCCTTCAGCCCAGAAAGAAGGCCCACCACCGGGCGAACACCGCGACGACAACCACCTTCACCGCTAACTGCTGCTGCCGCATCCGAGTCCGCAAGCCGACCTGCCCCAGCTGCAACTTCAGCTGCGGCTGCTGCGGCGGGCTGAGGAACTGCTTCGCCTTCCGTTTTTCCAGGTGCTGCCGCCCTACTACCTGCTTCACCTCCTCCTGCAGCGGCGGCTGTTGCTCGTGCAGGAGCTGCTTCAAGTGCTGCTGCTGTGGAGACGTGCGTTAATGAATGCCACCGATCTTTGCACATGTATAGTAAAGAGGAATGGTCCTGGGATATCTGCTAACCCTTTAAATGCCGTAGACTGAAACCTAGATTTGAGTTAGCTGAACGTTGTAGTAACAGATAGAGACTCCCCCGCACTTGTGCTAGCTTCGTCTCTGCCTGTGCCACCTGCCCTCCGTTGTAGTTGCTTGTCAGATTCGTTAGTCTAATTATTGACATATATAAGCCGTTTGCTGTTTGGAGTCTAGAATAATGCTGATACTTGGATTGATCCTTCTTTTTCGGCTAGTATCTTTTTCTGGTTGTTCCAGTAAAGCTCAAGCTCCCATTATGTAGTGGTCGGTCCATGCTGAGTTGCTGATGTCCGTTGAACTCGAGTCTGGTTCACCTGCATGCATATTTTCTTGATGAAAACTGGAAGATACTCCTTGCATGTGCAGACGGTTGTTTGTTAGACTGACAGGCAATGAGCCAAATGGAGTGGAATGTTTTTGAGATAGCATCTACCAGGCAGACACTGAGAACAAATCATAGTAGTTCTTTCCACCACTGTTTTCTGTTCGTATTGTCTGAAATGGGCGATACGGTCGGTGGAAGAGATGGACCAGTGCAGTGCAGTACGAACCTGAAATCAATCAATCAATCAATCATAGGGCCTCGCCGCTCCCATTCATGCTCATGCGTGCAGATTCAGGAACTGGCGCCCATTCATACAGTTGAGTCGCATAAATACAGGAGCCAGCTACTAATGATTCTCTGATTCTGTACAAGGCCATAGCCATGTGAGGGCATTGAATTGGATTTCCTTAGAAAATGCGCGACTAAACCAACACAACAGTCACAGTCGGCGCCTCGGCGGGTCGATGGATTATTGGAGCTCACGAAATCTGGCATGCATTCAGCTGCCTGCATTCCAGATTTCCAGGGTCAGGATCTCTGAACTTCCCTGAACCCCTTCCTGCACAAGCACAACCGGATTCCGGTGGTTGATCTGTAGCTCTTGCGCGTTTCACCGAGGATCGGAGGCGACAAACGGAGTATGCCGATGGATGTATGGGTGCACCACAGGGTAGCTGTAGCTGCAGGTACACCAATGCTGTAGTACTAGTATACGTGACGTCGCATGGGTCTTGTGGCGATGTCTGTACGTTGTGTTGGAGTATCTAGTGCGCTGCTGCATGCCTGTCTCTGTATGCGGCCAAACGGCTACCTTGACACGTACCTTTCGCCACGCGAATATTGGCTGCCCTGCCCAGTTGGAGCTAGAGAACATGATTGTGCACACACAAAACAGAAAACACCTACTGATTCTCCTCACACACAAGCACACAAAACTCGGGTGCACGAGCTAGCTACAATTCAATTCTCCAGAGCTGTAGACGGTGGACGCAGATTCTGGTGTGGTGACTGACGGGCCGCTGAGCAATTAGGCAGCCCATGGATCCAATTGGCAGGTGGCGATTGCTGCTGTAGATTGTGATGACTATGTGTGCGGCGTCCCTGGAAGGAAGGAAGGAGGACAAACATGAAGCCATGGCTCGCTCACACTGACCGTCCAAGTGATGTGTCGCAGTACACTACAGTGTAGTCGCGGCAGCAGTAGCTCAAGCGTCCTAGTACACTGACTGGTCCATTGGCCAATGTGATGTGGTGGGGTATGGGTGGGCCCACGGGCCAGCAGTGTTGATGGGCATCCCCGGTTTGTTTCCTTGCTCCAATCACCCCCAATTGATTGACAATAATATCTCTCCTCCTTTTTATTTTTATATTTCCTTTTCCTCATGATATTTTTTCTTTCCACTTGCTAGCTAGGCCAAAGGCCATGCATTTCCGGGACACTGAATTAAATGGTGCTGGTTTTCTTTTGTCATAAAGAGAGAGAGATATATTCACAGGAAATGAAATGAATTGATTTATTAATGGCTTCTGTTGGGCATGGCTCCATCAAGTAGTAGCAAGTAGCCATGGATGTGCTGCCGTGGTGCGTTTTGATGTAACACATGCATACCGCCTTCTTCCTCCATATCTTGCGACCTGGCAGATCTTGTTCTGTTGCGTTGCGCCGTGCCCTAATGCATGTAGTAGATTAATTAGACCCCGGTTGGTGCAGGTAATTGCGCGTCTAATTATTGGTGGGGTTCGTCGCATCCACTAAATTAGTAGCCGCATCCAGTTGTTTAACACATCTTGATAGGTTTGCAGGAGTTTAATAAGAATCGACAGGACTGGAGCATGTAAAAACAGGGTTTTTTTTGTATGTATGATTTGTGCAAGAGTTGTAGCATTTTTAATTTGCTGAAACTCTCTTGAAGTTCCACAGGCCGTTTACATGGTTTGTTTCTCTCTTTGCTTATTCCAGCCTTTCACCAACTGGTTACCTGATTTGTATTTTCTCCTGCCAAATGCCATGTGTATGTGCATATATATGCTTTGCTTGTGTCTCTCAACTGCATGCATTATTGAGGCGGATCTTCTAGGCATCTGTCCGGTCTCCGGTCCGGTGTATTACATCGCATAGAGTTAGTAGCTGGGGAGTCCTTCTTGCAAGGGCGGGGCCCACGGTCGTGGAGTTGTCTGAGGGAGTGTGATGTGCAGTGGCTGTCATGTAGTAGTAGCATAGCATCACTGGTAGTGGTAGTGATACTGATGTCTTCAGCGGCAGTAGTACTGGCAAGCAACAAACAAAACCAAATGATCTTTGAAGGTGCATGCTTGTGTGTATTATTGGCCTTGTTTAATTATTCACTCACAGGTTTCGCTGATAATGATGCAGGCGAGTATATGGTGATGCGGTACTTCACTTAGCTCATGATTGAACACTGACGGAATGTCTCACTAGCTAGCTGCTCTTGGCTATTGCTTGTGCCTAGCTAAGCCGCATCACAAATGACAATGAAGTATAAGATGCACTGCTGTGTTTTAAGGCCGGCTGGCTACCTTGTTCACAAATCACAAATGACAATGAATGTTTCTCCAACAAAGATACCGTCAGGGCATTTCCTGGGGGTGACATTTGGCGATCTGGAGTTCTGGACAGTGCTGGGCTGACAGTCAGTCAATGTGCACATACTGTACTAACCATAATCTAATCAGTTAATGGTTTGTGCTGCACAATCTGATGGATCTATGTGTTGCAGGCAGTATTTAATTAGTAGCTAGAACTGCAACACTGGTCAAAATCTTTTGAGTAATACAAAGCATTGGTCGTCATTAATTTACAATGAGCATTTCTCTGCAAGCATGATACATGTGTTTGGAGCAGTAACTATAATCTAATCATGATAGTGCATGGTCTGTGTGTTCCACGTTCTGATCTCTGGTTTCCGGTTATTTATATTATTACTGCTACTGCTAGTTCTAGGTCCAACATGGTCAAAACCTTTTTGAGTAAAATATCATGGTCATTTACAATGAGCAGATGTGCAAGCAGGATATACGTGTGCTGTTGTGATTTTTGTCAGTGGAAGTGGAAAGTGTTTTAAGAAGATTGACAAGTGGACATACAAAGGCAACAATACAGTACTGGGTGTAACTGTAAAGTATAAACATGATGTCGATAAGTTCTGATTTATGAACATTCTGACAGATGCCCTCATTTGCTGATGCTTCAGTGGTACAGCCATACAGGGAGCTGAGCATGCACTCGAGATTGACATGTACTCCGTACAGTATTTATTTACACATAGAAGGTTAGAACTCTGAACAACGTACCAACAGTTCCCAAATAGCTAGTCTACAAAAAATTCTATTGGCTATTAAGGAAAGAGATCAAATAGCTAGCGACTCTCAAATAGCTAGTTTAGTACGCTCTCCCATAAACAACTCTCTCACAGCCAGCGGCGGATCCAGGAAAAATTTTAGGGAGGGCTGAACAACATATACCTCTGACTACTGCTTGATCTTAAGTCTCAGCTCCACCTACACTATAGAACTTTGCCTAAAAATTCATGGAGGCTTCAGGGGGTTTCACTTCTCCGGTATGGGTAGGGAAGGCTCGAGCCCCCCCCCCCCCGTTGGATCCGCCCCTGCTCACAGCTCACATAACTCTCCACTACAGTGTTCTTTGTTTATTATTTTGAGGCTCATCTAGCTAGCTATTCGCAATTTGCCATTTGCCATTTGCCATTTGCCATTGACATGTGACAGGTGTACAGGTGCAAATTGTTCACAGTTGATTATTCTGCACGCTGTGCCTATCTGCACCATGGTATGCAGGTTTTTGGGCAGCACAGCCGAATACAACATGGTGAAAGTCTGTTTCAAAGTAACTTATTACCGGGTCCGTAACTACGTACTGCCATAAGAAGATCCGGGAGGCTAGCGCTCGGACACCTGGGCCTGCCCTGTTCGTCCGCTTGGATTCACACGCCACCCGCGCCGACACCGTTACGCGACGTCCGCGCTGGCACCGTTTTGTGCGTGCACGTGGGACCGTCCCACATCTCTCGGATGACTCGCCCCCTCCACTGGCTCAATCCCGCACGAACGCATCGGGCGCCAATCACCTCCACCACGTCGGACTCCTCTGAGGAATCGTGCGAGCCTCTTCCACATCGGTGCCGCGCAGCCTGCACCTCCTTCCCGCGTCGGTGGTCGCGGCTTGGCCCTACCGCCCTCGTCAACACCAACGCCGGCAGTCTACACATGCAACATGAAAGACGTGCTGCAACATACGACTGAATCAGATGAAACATTTGGAACAAACGCTTGCAATATATGTGTATAGCCACTGCAACATATGCAACATCCAGATAAAACACTTGCAACATACGTCTAAAACAGATGAAACATTTTGAATAGACGCTTGCAACATACCTCTGAAACACTTACAACATATGCAACATCCTCATATACTTTAGCAACATCAATATGAAACTCTTGCAACATACCTCTGAAATATCTGAAACACTTGAAACATACATTTGCAACATACACTTTAAGTGCAACATCTCCTTGCTGAGGTCGCGTGTCGCGACGGCCACGTCCTTCATAGTGGGGAA